AGGTCTGATTAGCAGTATTGCCTGTGGACTCCCCGCAGTTAATCTTTACCCACTCATCATGCCTTGTTCTGCACCGTATCTCTGGAGGTGGCCATATTGGTAGAGACGTGGCTTTGCTCTCTCATGTCAGAGCCTCCACTAAAGAGAATAGTGAGCGCTCAGTAGTCAAATCGTCAAATCTCACTCCAAACCTCCAGAGACTAGCAATCGGGGGCAGCGGAGCCTTAACATTTACACTGCAGGTATACAGTTATGAGGTTGTGGGTACAGGAGTGCTTCACATTCCAGGAAGTGTCAGGGGCGTCCCGAGGCCGGGTATCACCCGGAGCGGTTACCGGATGACACCCTGCCAAGACATAATCGCGCATGCGTGGGGATCATATGGATACCTGCCGGCGTCCATTACCAAGAGAGACGAAGGGACAGTCACCCGGCGGGATAAGGTATGCCGCCGGGTCCCCTCCTTTCTCCTGAAATTGGCGGGCTCCCGGTCCATGACAGAGTGGCCGACTTTTCAGAGGATGTGACACCAAAATGACTCTCAGTCATTTTGGTGTCACCCCCTCCAATGGTGTCACCCAGGTGCGGTCACTGGAAAGTGTACTGCTATTTTTCAGGAGGCATTCTGAACAACAGGTGCATTTTCCAAGGCACTGCTTAGGTCCAATTAACATTTCTTGATCTTCCATATAACATGGCAAATCTTTACTTTGTGAGATCGGTTCCGCCTAAAGTAATCTAACCAATGGGCCCTGTGAAAACTGATGACCTCTATAATGAGCAGATAATAAAAATCACTGAAATCTTGCCAACCTTATTTTTATTACAAGATTGTATTTCTCTTTTACTTGGCACTGGTAACTTGCGCATATTGGAGCCGGTAAGAATCCAGTAGATACAGCTGTGTGGCTGTCACCGCTTGATTTTTTCATGGTTACTCTAAAGTTGACCATACACCTGCAGATTTTCTGCACATTTTCTTTGGTCAGATGGAAAAAGTGCAACAGATTCCTCCATCTACGCTCAACTGTGTGGAGGGAGAAATCTCCCACTGGGCCAAGTTTCAGTATCTTGCTAGTCGGCCCTGCTGGCTCTCAAAATACCTGAACAATGCCTACATCCAATCAGATTGTTCAGGTATTTTGACAGCCAGCGGGGCCGACTAGCAAGATACTGAAGCTT